TTATAGCTAAGAATAATAAAACCATTTTGTATTTATTTAGATTGTCTATAAGAATATTTGATAGAAAAAAATTTGTATTTATCTAGATTGTCTATAAGAATATTTGATAGAAATGATGTATTACACACTATCATCTTGACAGAGAAAATCTGGTCTACAGACATAGAAAAACACACAGATGAATGAAAACAATTCTGTAATCAAAATTTAATGTTAGAGGTACCCAAGTAAACTAACATGGAAAGACTAAATTGTGGAAGAATATCAAATACAAATTTCTAAGTCATTTTATATATGTTAAGTATTTATAGTCCATGTAAGATACATTTAACTTTCTAGGTGATTTAACCTACGTAATCTATGACCATGCAGACCAAGCATTAAAACAGATTTTATTCCTAACATTGTAATGTGGATTTGTCTTAACCAAGAATATAGATCAAAATTCTGAGAGGCACTATTTCTAACATGCAAATAAACAGTGTAGGACAATTTCTCTGGTAATTGTCATGATTCCATATCTTAACTGTTTGGACTTTATATGTACATAATGCAGTGTTTCTCAAACTTAGATTTCTGATTATTTTTTTAAAGCCCTGCTTTTTAAAAATACCAAACTTAAAACAAGCAACAAACAAACAACCCTAATTCAAATGGTCAAGAATTTGTATTTATTTTTAGTTTCGCTTTTCATTTTCTTTTAAAATACTTTCATTAAGTGCTAGATGATTTTCTTATTTTCTCTTGTATTATTCGCTCTCACAGGAGATAAAATAGAGATAACAAAGGATCATATTCAATGAGGACATTTGTGTGTATTTTTTTTCAGGTAAAGGCAATGTCCTCAGACATATCTGTGATGCAGCCCTCTTTTGTCAGTTACTAAGTGCTCCTGAAACCACGTTTGTTTCTTCTTATTCAATTTATGATTGGATTTACCTGGAAGTTGTTACTATCTGTATGGGTATACCCCATTGCCATACATGTTTATCCTCTATAAATTAATTAGTATGTTCTCATTTTACACTGTCTTCTGAATTCTTTATTCATTATACAATAATTCAGAATAATAAAGAAATAGGTCTTTGCTCATTAAAAACTTATGTGTTTGAAGAGATGAATCTTGCATGGAAAAATAATTGGAAGAGGAATATAAATAACAGCTTTTGTTCTACAAATGTAAATGCTACTGTGTTACAAAAAGAAGCAAAATACCTTAAGGGGCTACAAAGAAAGTATTTGTAAAGGAAAGGAAAGTTTAGTTAAGCCTGGAAGGAAATGAAAAAACAAATGGATTGGTAGTCAGTAGAAAGGAGTTTACTTGAGGGAAAAAGAGTAAGTTCAGAATAAGAGCTGGGAGTGGAAACTAGGGTGGCGATACAGGGGATTGGCAGCAGTGTTATGAAAAGGAAGGGTGGATTCTAGTAATGTACAGGTTGCCCCCACCACCTGCCCTTAAAAGTGAAACATCCTCCTGGGCTGCTAGCGTGATTTATATTAAAATGTTCATTAAATATTCACAACAATAAAACAACACAAACATTCCTTATCCTTGTAACTTTGGTTAAAATATGGAACCAAAATTAAAGATAAACAAATTAATGCATCATTAAAATGTTTATTGACTGTGTATTTTGTTTTTACTGAAATACATATCCCTATGACTGTAAGATGAGACACAGAATGCCATGTGTGTATATAACACTTTCTGCCTGTAGCTGTACCATGTGATGACTCAATCCTACCAGCACTTTATTCAAATTACCTTGAAACTTTTTATCTGTATTACTACATGGGAATGTTATTTGGTTTTCATTTGGCTGGAATTTATCATTAACATATTATACCCATCTTTGTTCTTTTTATCATTTGGAAACAAGGCTTTTAAAGTGGTTCAGAATGTATGACAAACATCCATAGTAACACTGAGATTGATCTTTCACATGATTCCAAATATAGCTTATTAATTTATAGTATTGTACCAATTAACACAATAATTTTAATAATTCTTAAAAAGAGTTGCTCTCCAGATCTCCAGATCTCCAGAAATGTACCTCTTCCACCAACCCTACTTTGAGAAACACTACATTGAGCAATTTTGGGATCTAGATTTAGAAAGGCAGGATCTGGTTAATGGAGCAATTCTTACTGCTCAGGCAAGACATTGAGGTCTGAAAAAGTTCTAAATCAGGATGTTTACAAAAGAAAGTGAGCTTTAAAGAGAGTAAATTAGTACCCATTTGTTTAAATAAGTGGGAAAAGATGCCACAAGAAAATTAATTGAAGGACTATTGTTAGATGTTTGTGTTTAATGTTGCATACTCATGTATGAAGGATAACAGGTGAAATGATGGTAATAAAGGAGGGAGGACACTTTTACAGCGGTGTGAGCGAGGCTAGTTTGGGAAAATGATGTTTTATTCGGTTGTGAGGGTGAGAAGTAACCCAGCCTTAAAGAAGTGTCTCCAGGCAGAGATACACAGAGTTCCTAAAACAGAATCAAGCTGGGTATGAAAGAAAAAAGAGAAATAAATTAAAGATTTGGGGAGTTTGCCATGAGATAAGATCAAAGAAACAGTTGTAAGGTATAAAAATTTATCATTGCAGCAAAAATGGTGATGAGGAAGGAATGCGTTTAAGGGTCACCACTCAAGAAATGTAGATAGGAATTTGTGATAGCATATAGTGAGAGAGAAGTATAAACCATCAACGATTGAGGATAGCGAGACTAGAATAATGATGTCATGGTCAGAAACAGGGAAGTTAGTAAATGGAGGGCAGTTAGAGTGGAAAGACACTGAATTGTATGTATTAAAGGCTTATTTATGTTTCTTTTAGTTAAAAACACCAAATCCATTGTTTTTAACAATAGAAAACACAAAACAATGGATTATCTATGTGTAAGATGTACCATTTTAGGGAAGCTGGCTGAAACAAAGAAATAAAAGTGCCGTCAAATGGATGGATATTAAACCTGAGATCAGTGAAGGAAGGAGGATTGTACCATAAAGGCAATGAGAAATCTGCAGAAGAAACCAAGAAAGAGTAAAGAAAATAAGGACAGTCTAATGGCACAAACCCCAGATAAGTGGAAGATGTTTAAGGAGGCAGGTTTTATCTATATCAAATGCAACAATAAATTTTAAAACAATGGAGGGTGTACTTCAGAGTCAGTATCATGTGAGGCACAAGGTGACCACAGGTTGCAATAGTTGGTAAAGCTATGGAGAAAGCCAGTGGTGAAAAATAAGTTTGCTCAGATGCCTGGCATGGAGGCATGAGTAAATAATCAAAGGTATACAAAGTTCTTTAAGAGTTTGTTGGCAGTGACCCGTGCTAAGAAAAACCTAATAAACAGATTGTTCTATGTAGTGAAGATGGTTTTGCTTTGGGAGTCTTCTTGGTTCCTCCCTGGAGGAGTTTGCTCTCCAGTTAATGACTATAGCATTCTGCCTACCAGGACATGTTCCTGCCAAGTCAAGGGAAGCACCTACAAAAGACTTATGGGGCCTCTTTTATTAGTCCAACTGGGTCACTCTGAAGCTTCTGAGTAATTAATTTACTTTACATGGCTGAAAAAAATGCCTTTGAGACGCCACGTAACTTAAAAATTACATCCTAATTTCTTACCCTACTCTTCTGCTTCATTTTGCCATCTGTTCCATTGTGGTCTGTGGATGCCAGTTTCCACACCTGAGTAATCACAGTGAAACTTTGTCCATGCCAGGTCTAATCAAGGCAGGGAAGAGCTGAGTCTGGCCATCCTGGCCAGGACCTATCACAGGGAGAAAAACATGCCTATCATTAATAGCCTTTATTGCCAAAGTGTTTGTAATTATTGCCTCTGCATTTCTTTTGTATTGACAAAGATGAATATTGCTTTCATTTTTGTTTTGTGAAAGGTGAAATCTGTCTGCATAGTGTGAATCACCTTTATACTATCCTCATAAGATCCTGGGCCACAGGAAAACATGATTGTTTTTAGTTGGATGAATGTATAGTAAAAATGTAGAGGTAGCTATTGATAGCACTGTGCAAAACCCCTCACCTATTTTATTTTCTGTATTCTTCACAACAATTTTTTCAAGTTAAGTCATCTCCATTTTAAGAAGAAAACTGAGGTGAGAAGTATACATGAATCCCATAAATCACACAATAAATAGTGGTGCCAATATTTGACTCTAGCTCTGCCTAATGTCAAATCATTTGCTTACTAGTCCAGCTATTTGTGATAAAATATGAGCTACTTAAAGCCTTATTTTGCTCTTCTTACTTTTAATTGTAATTATTTATAGAAAAATATGAGTAATTTATCATATCAAAAACATGACGAAAGATACTTGAGCTGAAGGTGTATAAAAACTTACTTGCTAGAATGCCTGATCCTTTAGTGCAGGAACTAGATTTGACTTGTTGGTTTTCTAATCTCCAGTGAAGGACAGCCAGTGAAAATGTGAGGGATGGTCAATGAATTGGTTAATTGATGATTTTTTTTTTTTTTTTTGTAAGAAGACAAAGTGAAAGTAGCTCAGTTCTGGAAACAGATGTCCTTGTGGAAACATTGGTCCCTAAAATCTGGAAGGCATAATTATCCCTGAAAGAATGTGGGAAATGGTATTCGTTCTGTCCATGAAAAACAAATGTCAAAAAATAAATTTTAGAAATTTTCCTATCATTCTGTGAGTGCTATACTGAAATGTATTTTTTCTAATGATTAATTGAATCATTAGGGAGAAAGCTCTCACTTTGCAATATTGATATAAAATGATCTGAAGTTCATTGATATGAAATGGCCTCCAATGTAAATATCTTCAGAATACACACACACACACACACACACACAGATGTAATTATTTAGCATCTTTGTGTATGTATGACTTTCAGGGTTTCATTATGTGATAGTGAAAGTGGAAAAAACTCAAGACTGGCAGTGGAAAGGTGATGGGTTGTTGTTTTCTCTCCTGTGTACTTCAGTGCCGTTTACTTCTGTGTTCTTGCAGGTGAAGACCGATGATAGAGTGATTAAGATGGACCTTGGCTTACTCTTCCTAAGGTTACAAAAATCAGATGCTGGAACCTATTTTTGCCAGACAGTAGAGCATAGCTTTGTCCATACTGCCCGTAAAATCACCTTAGAGGTAGTGGAAGAGGAGAAAGTTGAGGACATGTTTCACAAGGATGATGCAGACAGGCCTCGCAGGATGCCTTGTCCTGTCCAGAGTAGCGCCTCGCAGGGAGCAAAACCGTGGTACAAAGAATTCTTGCAGCTGATCGGTTATAGCAACTTCCAGAGAGTGGAAGAATATTGTGAGAAAGTATGGTGCACAGATAGGAAGAGGAAAAAGCTTAAAATGTCACCCTCCAAGTGGAAGTATGCCAACCCGCAGGAAAAGAAGCTCCGTTCTAAACCCGAGCGCTACCGCCTGCCCAGGCACACGCTGGACTCTTGATGGGGTGAGACCATTTACTGTCTTTTGAAGCATTTATATTTGGAACGTAAAAAAAAAAAAAAAGCAAAAGAAAAGAAACCATCCAACTTCTTTGCATTACTTAAAAGAGATTTCTATAATACAGAAATGACTATAACGGTGTTATAAATTACTCCACATATGCATTTGACTGGATAAACTTCACATAAAATTAACTGATTTTTAAACTAAATGCATTGCTTAATGGTTTCTTGTTATGTTTGTCAAAAAGCAACTATAGCTGTCATTTTCAGTACTTGGCTGCTTTTCTATCGTAATTATTATTTTACCCTTGAAAGACTTAGGATTATTAGAATATTGAAGAAAAATAGAGAATTTCATAATCATGGTAAATATGAAACTAAATGTCTTAATATTTCTGAATTTTTCTTTTCCACCACAATGTAAAACATGGAGAATACAAAATACTCTGACATTCTCATGTGAACTTTCTGTACTTTTTAGGGACCATTTTATTAGTGTTGTCTAAGCCACGAGTGTTAAATAGCAGGTGTGTTGTGACTGCTATAACCTCTGAAAGAAAAAATGTGGTCATTCCGCTGCTTGCGCCCTTCACAAAACATTCATTAAACCACATTCACAATATTTTCGTTTTATAACACAATCTTTAAATTTCACTCACTGTGGAAAGAAAAGGTAACTTCTCAGAAAGATATCAAAGAATGTCAAATTAGATGAAGTTATCGTTATAGAATTCTATCGACTGCGAAAGATTTTTGCTGCCCTCTTGTGGTAGGAAAGGTATATTCTCACACATTTCTTTTTTCTTCACAGGTTATCCGTTTAGGAAAGATTTGAAAGCCCATTGTCAGTAGATACATTGAGTCCATTTGCAGAAACAACGAGTGAAATTAAAAAAAAAAAAAGTTAATCCTTTTATCAAACTTTAATATGAAAGTATTTTTTATAGATAATTTATTTCACAAGTCAAAAATGAAGATTTTGTAGCTCTCAACATCTGTTAAAGCTCAAAATGTAAAAAGCAATCTTCCCTGAAATCTAAAAGATATTATAACAGCCATATTTTATTTGTAAAACAGGTATTAAAGTGATCTGTTCTCAGATATCAAATTTTCTTCTCTATATTAAGAGACAGGAAACTGTTTCATGAGTTCACTTAACTACTGAGATATTCAGAGCATTTTACCTCTCCTAAATATTATAAAAACAATTGTATTTTTGAGAATGTTTATCAAAGTCTTTCCTTCTCCTGTTAAATATTTAGCAATTGCTTTTCTAAAATATAAATTTTTATAAGATGTTTTCTTATAAAATTGAAAACAAGTGTATTACACAGGAAACCATTGTGAACATTTATTCAGATATTAATTAATGTTTATTTCAGTTGTCAAAGTTAGCGTTTAGGTTGTAAATTTAAGTTAAAGTGCTGATAACTCATAATCACTTGCAATTTTATTGTAAAATTAACAAATACATAAATGCTTTAAGAAAAGTTTATTCAGATAAGTCACCAAGCTTCAAAAGATCTAAGACATGCAAATGTACTGAAAACTGACTTGCTCTGAAAATTCCACTTGCCATTTACCTAAGAATCCACTGGAGGTCGTTATTGCCCATAAATATTAACTGAAAAGAGTATGTATTGAAATGTATTTTTTTTTAACCATATTCAGTAAAAGCTTGCTCAATTTGGAGAAATAGAACCATGATAACTGATCAAGGGCCCTTACAAAGTTTATGTCTGAACAAATAAGTCAATTAAGTGCACTTTATTGACAAAGTCTTCCACTAACACACAAGAAAGAAAGAGGGTTTTTCCCTTGTATCTGAATTTTAAATTAAAAAATTAAGGCAGATAAGACATTAGTGGTTATCATTTTAATCGAGATAACACAGACAAGTAGTTAATAATAACTGTGGTGTAACTTGTAAACTAAATATTTGGTAACTGATGCAATAGGCAGAGGAAAATAGTTTTTCTATGACACAAGTCATAAGAAGTAGACACTCAGAACAGCGATTTGATTAAAATAAAGTAACTGTTAACCAGAAAAGAAACATTTTACATAAAATGCTAAAATTGATTCTAGGAAAATCAATCAAACCCAAATAAAGTTTATAAAATGCTAATTTGAAAGAAAACTGATAAGAAAATTTTGAGGGCCCAGGTCTACAGTTTAGGGTGACTACTAAATTTTATACATAATTATACCCACATACACATATGTACATATATGTATAAATCTTGCTTCCTGCCTGTTTATGGCAGTACTGTGGAGAACTGGGAAAGTAGAGGGAGGGAGGGAGGGGGAGAGGGGGAGAGAGAGAGAGAGAGAGAGTAGTTCCCAGGGATATGTTTCATGTCTCATCATTTTTCAGTCTCTTCCTCTCTCTCCCAACACATGTGCATGCACACAGACACACACACACACACGTACACACACAACGCACCTCACGTACTATAAAATAAATCAAGCCATGCCGCTCTGTCCTTCTTGAGAATTTCAAACATGCCACAGAAATATATCCCCAGTATTTTGTTCTGTCTGAGGTGAGAATTCAAATTCAGAATCTCTTTTGAGAAATGTGTAGGCTTGGAAAATTACAAATGGATCAATCTTCTCTGAACCCAGGGAGGGTACATGCTTAGACATTTACAAGACTTGGAGGAATTAAGAGTTCGCTCTTGATCTCACCAAAATTTTCCCCTTTTTCTTTTTCTTGCAGAAGGAGAGAAACCATGCTCTCTAGCAACACTGAGCAAAATCATAACCACTCATCCTAATTGCTAAGGGGCACCTCCATCTAGGGTCAGTCTACTGCTTCCTTAGGCCTCTTCTATGTTATTCTTTGTTACGGGAGAGGACCTGTGGTTAGAATGAATTTTGACATAAAACAATGCCCATTCACCTCGTCCTTCATCACAATGCCACCCATTGAGCAAGATATCCAGATTTGTTAACAAGAAAGATTTTGCTTCGTGATTTATAAAGTCTCTTCTGTGTCTCTAATTCTACATTGCTATTTTTTTTGTGTGTGTGTGAATTACTGAATATTTCAGTGCAAATCTATCAACTTGGAGAAACAGGGATAAAAGATAAACACTAATAAGAGCTATAGAAAAAAGGGAACAGAGTCTTTGCCTGTTTAGTAAGTGGCAATTCCATATATATTTTAGAGTCTTTTTCTTTCTAAAATTAGTTAAATACTTAGAATGTTTGTAATGAGTGTTCAATATTTGCTATAGGGTTTAGGGTTTTGTAAATCTTCCTAGTAATTATGAACATTTGTAAGATTTGTAAAATACAATAAATCGTTTTGAATGTTGATGTTAAGCATGAAACAAACACAGCAGCTGTTGTCCTTAAAAATGAATTGACCGGTGACATCTGTAGCCTAATAAATATATTAAGAAAAGTAGTTAGTATTGTATAGATACTTGAGACCCCGGAGAACATGCTGCACTTATAAGAAGAAGCTCATGCTCCTTTCTTACAGCAGCATCACACTGAGTCCGTTTTAAAGAAGGGCTCATTTTTCAGGCCAACAACTGTTGCATTTGAACGAGATATAAATCATAGATTTTCCAAAAACACTCAGTTGATTGTAGCAGTGTTATTTAAGCTGGTATGTTTATTTTATTTTATTTTCTTGGATAGCTTTATATTTTGGCTTTTATTATAAATTGTGTTCTGCTTGTGTTTAAATGGCTTGGTTTTAAGCTAGAGCACTATATTGGGGTGTCTTTTCTGTATGGCATCCTTTTATTTGCTTGGCTGGGTTCATAATAGTGTGTGCCATATTCTTTCTTTTCACTGATTAGAAGCCATGAGACTTATCATCTAGTGGCAAGCTGCAGGGACCATTAACAGTGTGTCTCTGACTATAACTTGGATCTGCCACTATGCACTGCGTAATTTGTCTGTACCACTATGTACAATCTCTATTTGGTTCAACTTAGATGAAAAAGAAATAAATATTTGCTAAACTCTCAAGTGTCGTCTGGGGAGCATTTTCTAAGTTTTTGCCAATTGAACTCAGGTTTTTTATATTAAGCCTAAATGTAAACATACAATGCCAGACTACCAGTTTTTTTTTTAAGAAGCTAGAAAAGAATTCAGTTTCCTTTCTTGTGATATTTATAAGCTAACTTTATACTACAGAGTAAAAATCTGTTAACCTCATTACCTTGCAGCAGTTGCATTTATTTATGCAATACCGTGTTGCTAGGACCAATAGCCAGAAATTCCTTCCAAAGCTTCATCATCCAGATAAGATATATGAAAAATGAAAGTTTTTGGAGTGGTTACTAGTTGAATGTTTATAATTTTTGCAAGCCTCAAGTTCTAGCTTAATGTATCTGAATTGCTATTTTCTCTGTTATTTTTATAAGACCTTGGGAAGGCCATTTAAATGAAGTGTAGTGTTAAGTAAACTTTTGTTACCATATATCATTGCTACATTATTACAACTCCTCTGAATCAAAGCCTAGCTTCTCAATGCTGTCCTGACCAGGAGGAGTCTCAATAGTCATAATTTATGACTATTCATAAATAATTCATAAACATTCATTGTTTATTAATATTCAATATTCATAATCTGTTAAGAAAAATTTTGTTTCTGAGGCAGATTTTATTGTATTGACAGGTAATTAGTTATAATGTTTTAAAAGAAAAATTTGGTGGCAGCTCATGGAACATGTCTCTGGCAGCTTTATGGTGTGACAATGATATTAACGGTAGCTGTCTATCATATTCCAGCCTTGCATTCATTTATAATATAGGCCTACTTTTTGTATAGTATTTGATAACTAATTGAGGCTGTTCTTCAGATACATTTTCAGTCTTTAGTCAAAGGAAGAAGAGAAGCAGTTATGGTAACTAGAAATCTGTTGCTTACTATTCAAATGAAACAAAGTATGCACCCATCTTTTTATTCAAACACTGTATACCAGGCACTGAACTAGGCACTGCATAAAGTACAGAAATACTAATAATTCCATTATTACATAGGTAAATAACAATTACATTTTTTGAGACTATGTTTGCAGTGTATATTGGAAAAAATCCCCAAATCTTCATTGTACTCTATAGCACATTAAATGGAACAAGAGTGCAGTTTAATACAAGTATTTATTCTTTCAGAAGTAGTGTTGGTATACACAGGGAATGGGCCCAGGACACCATGTATACCAAAATTCACGAATGTTCAAGTCTTGCGGTCAGCTCTGTAAAGTCAAATACAAGAAAAGTCCCCCCTCTCTGTGTATGTGGGTTTCATATCCTATAAACACTTTATTTTCTATCTGCATTTGGTTGAAAATGATTCATATATAGATGGGCTTTTGCAATTCAGATTAGCATTGTTCAGGAATCAACTGGACTTCTAATTATGAATATTAAGACTCCTGGTCAGGATGGCATTGAGAAGCCGGGCTTTGATTCAGAGGAGTTGCAATAATATAGCAATGATAAATGGTATAGAAAAAGAGAAATAATTTAATAAAAAAGAAAGAGACCAACAGAGAAGCATAACGTCTTTATGAACCAGCAATGGAACAGAAATACAAGGCAGTGATTGGGCCTTAAGCCATAGATCTAGACATGCTTTCAGCAGGAGATAGTGGTAGCAGGAAGCCCAGATCCTGCATGATGAGATGAATACACATGATAGATGCCAAGTGAAATGTTAGGACTTCTCTCGGCTTTGGGAAGATACAGAAACCTGAAATCTGGGTCCCTACCATTGCCTGGGGTTTCATCATATAGGAGCTGCATATAAAGCCATCTAAGGCTAGGACACAGACTCATTTCAGGTCCCAGGGCAGACTTAGCCCCTTATTTATCTTCACATCTATTCATAACCTGGGATCCCTGGAATACGAGACTCCCAAGTCATCACAGTACTGGAGCCTAGAAAAGCCAAAGAACCTTTTCTGGTTTGGTAGCCCTGAGGTGGGGATAAGGAGGTGGAAGCAAAAGTTAAACCTACAGGCAAGGTACTGTAGACTGAATTCTGTCACGTGTCTTGGAGATGGGGTTTTGGTAAGGTAATTATTGTTAGATGAGCTCATGAGGATGGGGGCCTCATGATGGGATTAGTAGCTTTATAAGAAGAGGAAGAGAGACAGTGGTGGGGTGGTGGGGAGGGAGCGCAAGAAGCCTGGAAGGGCACTGTCTGCAAACCGGGAAGAGGCCCCTCACCAGGAACCAAATCTGCTGAAACCTTGATTTAGACTTCCCAGCCTCCAGAACTGTGAGAGATGACTCTGTTGTTTAAGGTACTTATTCTATGTCATTTTGTTATAGCAGCCTAAGCAGATTGATACACACAAGAAAGCACAGAAAGGTGGAGAGATTAAGGATAAACAGATATACCCAAAATGAACTCACAAACAAAAATATTTCAAAACATCTCAAGATAACTAAGTTAACTAAAGTTAAGTAAATAATAATATCTGGAAAAAGTGATGAAAAGTAGCCTCTGGTATGATGACTGTTGGCTTCTATCATTCAGGAATAGGGCATTTGGGAAGAGCTTAAAAAGTGTAAATTAATTCTTCTCTGTGACTCAGAATAGGTTTCAGAGAAAGGGGAAAACACAATTATAGACTCAATTTTCACCCCATACCGCCACCAGCACCAAAAATAAAAAATAAAAATAAAAAGCTAATGACAAGACAGTTTCTTGAGGATTGTTCCATAGAGTTAACCAATTTTGAAATAATTATTGGAGAGTTTCTTATTTTTTAAAAGAAATTTAACACAAACTTATTCTCCCATGGTGTCTGTAGGTCAGAAGTCCAGAAATACATTTCATCTGGATTCTGTGCTTAGAATCTCAAAGGCTAAGATTAATGTGTTAAGTAGCTGGCTCTGAGGAAGAATCTACTTTCAACTCATTCAGGTTATTGGCAGAGTTCTGCTCCTTGTAGTTCTAGGGCTGCAGTCATTTCCCCCCATCTAACTTCAATGTCAGCAGTGGAGTAGTGAGTCCTTCTGAAGCTTGGAATTTCTCTGAATTCCTCTCATGCCACATTTCTCTGCCTCCATCTAAAGAAATGTCCTTACTTTTAAAGCTCATCTGATTAGATGGTGCACATGATGATGTTCCGGGATAATCTCCCTATTTAAAAGTTTTCAGTGTTAGTACTATCTGAAAAATATTTGTTTTGCCCTGTAACATAATGTGTTCACAGGCTTGGGGGATTATTTTGTGGTCATATCGGGGCATCATTCTGCCCAACCAACCACAGTCCGTTTTCTGCTCCCCAAAGATTCATGTCCATCCCAAATGCAAAACACATTTACCCCATTTCTAGGTCCCCAAAAGTCTTATCCTATTATAAAATCAGCTCAAAAGTTCCAAATCTTATCATCTAAATGTTATAAATCAGGTGCAGATGAAGCTTTGCATATAATCTGTCAACTATGCTTCAGGCGCACAATTCCCATTCATCTGTGCACCTGTGTAACTATAGGAATAAGTTACATGTTCCAACACGCAATGATGGGAGAGGCATAAAGTAATAGTTTACAGATATTGTGGTTTAAACAGGGAGAAAGAGGCATAAAAAATGGAGTCAATAGTCAAAGCAGTTTCAAAACCCAGCTGTGTAACCTCTATTAACTTTGAAGGCCTAGAAATATTATTCTGTGGCCTTTGGCTTTGCCCTGTACATCTCTATGTTACCCTGTAGGCGATCCATCAAAGCCTCTGACTCCTAAATGGCATTCTGAAATGCAGCAGAGGCAAAGGCATAGATTTTCTTAGAAAAATTATTATGAAGTACACAGATAATTATCTCAACTTCCAATTTTGTAAAATCATTTTTCCTGTTAAAACCAGGATATGTCATTAATAGATGACATTGAATGAGTTAATCTGATATAATATTCTACTAGTTTAATAAGTAAGTTCAAGCACACAATTGTATTTCCAAAAAGGCTCATGGGCAGGTGGAGTCAAGGTGAAATTTTAGGGGAAATAATAATGTAATAATATAAATAATGAGATAATAAATATATTCATGAACACCAGTTATGCCAAGTAGTAAATATTTTCTAAGCATTACCTCACTTAACATCAAAAATACAAAACAAAACCTCTTTGAGGTAGGTAGCTTTATTTATGGATGAGGAAACAGAAGTAATTTGTAGATCCCAGATTAAGGTGAAATGTTAAACAATGACATTCTCACAAAAGCCAAAAAGCAGTGAATCTGTGGGACCACCGGATGATGAGTGAGGGCTGCTTTATATGGTGATATGTAAATAATTATCTCTTCAACTTTTTAATTTCTGTTAATTTGGGCCTCCACATTTTCTCTCCTGAATTTCTTTTATATCTGCCCTCACTGGTCTCTCCACCCTGACATTTGTCTTCTTCTCATCCATCTCTACCCAGCAGCCAAAGTCATCTTTTTACCATGAATTTGATCTTTTTATAACTCTACTAGAAGCCATTCAATGGCTTTTGTATGAATAAGAAGCTCAAACTCCTTAATGTGGCTTAACATTCTCTCCTGACATAACTTTGTTTGAATCATGCCAATCTTCATGGCCTCCTATCCTCTTCACTCAGCTTACCATACTTATTTCTATTTTCCTTAGTCTGGAATTTCCTAAAATGCTCTTAGTACCCTCAAACCTTCCTAATCTTTTAAAAATTAGTAATTGGCCTCATCGTTTTCCGTATTCAGCATTTTTTGTAGCACATTTAGCACTGTATTGTGATTATTGGTTTACTTTGTGAAAGTATCTTGTAGATAGAAATTACACCCTATTTACCCTTGTCCCTGGAATCTAATACTGATGTATTAACTGGTCATGTACACTAAATGAATAGTTATGTCATGAATAATTCAATCTCTCAGGTCACAATTACCCTGAAGTGATTCATGAATTTCCTGAAATTGTACCCAAATTTTGTTCTGAAGGCCCATAGCTTTTATTAATTGTTAAAAGGATAATTGACTCAAAGATCAGGAACAGCT